TCAAAAAAAAAGAAATTGTAGAATTAGTTTATAAAAATATAGAACAGAATCATAAAGGTCGGGTAATTATATACACGTCAACTCCTAATGAATGCATAAAAATTTTTAATAGTCTTAAAGGATATATAGATTCTAGTCAGCTTGGTATATATCATAGAAAAATGCATAGTGCAGATCAAACAATAACTCTATGTTTGTGAAGTAATAAAAAATTAAAATATATAGTTGCTACAAATGCTTTTGGTATAGAAGTACACATATCAGATATTCAAATTATTATTCATACTACATTTTCACTATTGCCAACAAATTTTGTACAAGAAGTTGGATGAGCTAGTAAAGATGGCCAGCAAGCTAAAAGTATAGTTTTGTATTCTCGTGCTGATATCCGTAAGTTGTTAATAATTGTTAGTGCAAAAATTGAAAGATAAAGTACAAGTATTAAATATGTAATAAGTAATAAACTAAACAATACTATTTTTTATTTTTTATTTAGTCCTGATGAATCACAAACAATTCAACATAACTACTTGGAAAAAATGGAAAAAAAAATATTTGCAATGGCTTATATCTTTGAAAATTCTTACCAATGTTGTCAAAAAATGGCATATAAACCATTTAAGTGGCTAGAAGATCCTAAAATTCCTAAATGCTGTATTTGCAATAATTGTAATAGATGCATTATAGATAACATTACTTGGTGTAATATTAGTAAAGACTTGATTCGAATTTTAGATACGGTAGACAAGCTATTAAAATTTTTGAATGATCTGATAACACAGTTAGTAAATTTTGGATACAATGATATTGTGGATATTTTTATGAAAGCGAAAAACAAAAATGTAAAAGAAAAAACTTAGCTTCCTTATGAAAAAATGATAGTAACAAAGCTAAAGATAATATTATTCGAACTAGAAATACATGTTTGCATGCTATAAATCGGCTTTGTATGAAAGGATCATTAGTTCAAAATGTAGTAATTAGACCGATGTGATCTGGTTCTTCAATGATAATTTATAGCTCTAATATTTCTGGAATAGCACCAGATGCAAGGCATAAAATACTTGAAAATTTGTGGTTAGAAGCATTTAAATCATAGTATATATATAAAAAATTTTGATTAGCTAATTTTAAAATTACAATTTTTATTTTGGTTATACAAATAATCTACAACCTGCAGCTGTGCTGTTATTTTATTATACTGCAGATCAGGGACACAAAAATTATGTGATTTAGTGTGATTAAACCAAATTACACTAAATCGCATAATTTTATATCATTTATATTATATCAATGACATGTATATCTCAAATAAAAATTGATTTGGTCTGTATATTTGACTATTATAAAAACTGATTAATAATAGAACTGAGTAAGCCAATATTAAAGCTTCAACGGTTAAAAAGAATTTTTTTTTTACTAGGTTTTTTTTAGCTGATAAAATAGTATATAGTATGTTAAAGTACAAAAATTTTAAATTTTAGTAATATTTTAATATGCTAAATAATTAAATTTTTGTAGTATGTTAAAGTGAGAAATAAATTACTACGTAGAAGTATATTAAAGTACAGAAAAATTAATTTTTAGTAGTATTTTAAAGTGTAAAATAATTAAATTTTAGTAGTAAAAAAATAAATTAAAAAAAGTATATTAAAGTGCAAAATAAATTACTAGAAGTATGTTAAAACATGAAATTAATTTCTAGTAGTATGTTAAAGTGTAAAAAAAAAAAAAATATTAAAAGCTTGAGGTAGGTGCATTCATCTTTAAGAAAAAAAATATTTTTTTCAATATGGGTTCAAAAAGAGTCTTGTTAAATAGTAGAGTACTCGAATTTAATGAAGATTTTTATAGAGAGGATAATAAGTTTATGTGCAAGTTTTGTCATCATAGTGTTAATTACAAAGTTCGGTCAATAATCATAGCACATACTGAGAGTAAAAATCATACAAAAAAAAAAGCTGCTGCTGAGAGTACAAATACTTAAACACGGCAATTAACACTTACAACAACACTACAAGCTGCTGAATCTTGAAAAAATACAGTTATATCTTTTGTAAAAGCTCCAGTAGAGGCGAATATTCCACTTGAAAAGGCTAATAAATTGCAGTCTTGGATTAGAAAACATGTTCGAAAAGGAGGTGCAATACCATCTGCAGATACATTACGAAGAGACTATTTGCCGATTGTTTTTGAAACAAGTATCACAGATCTTAAAAATTTTTTTAAAATAAAAAAGTGTCAATTATTGTAGATGAAATATCTGACTCATGTGCTTATAGTGTCTTAAATATTCTTTTTTCTTATCAGGGTACAACTAAATTAATTGAAGTAGGTTTTTTAAATCAAGTTAATAATAAAACAATTAGTGAACTAATTATTCAAACATTAGTTCAATAGTCTATACCATTTGAATATTCTCATCTTATTGCCTCTGACTCAGCTGCATATATGAAAAAGTGTTACTGTGAAATTTTAAAACCACTTTTCCCATGATTAATTCATAGTCCCTGCTTAGCACATATTATAAACTTAATTGGCAAGGCTTGGATTTCTGTAAATCATTTTATTATTATTAAAACATTACTTAGCCAAATTAAGTAAATATTTATTTCAAAATCATGTCAAAACCGTTATACTTATTATCTTCAATATAATGAAATTATTACATCAAAAAAAGTTTTACTCCCATCCGAAACTCATTAGAATTCTTGGTATTGAATGGCTTTTTATGTTGATGAGCACTTGAATCATATTCATACATTCTATCAACAAGAAGAAATTGAAAATTTGTCTACAACTGTTAGTGAAATTGCATCTACATTTGGAAATAATCAATTAAATAGTCTTATTAAAATTTATATATGGTTTATCAAAATATATGCACAAACCCTTGTTTCGATACTTGATTTTTTTCAAACAGAAAAAATACCTGTTTTTCCTTTAATTGAAACCTGTCTATTCCAGCTTGGTCAATTTTTAATTGACAACAAAAGGTTGAC